TTGTCATTCCCTTAAGTGTAATACTGAATTTTCAGTTAATAAAACCGCCTGAAAATGAAATTATTATAGACTCTTAAAATTGTAATGTTTTAAACTCCTGGCTTTTTGCAATTTTTTTTGCAAATATGTTGAAGTCGAAAAACTTTTTTTTTTCTGAGCCATTGGGTTCCGATCCCTCTATCTTTATTTGATAATGAGGATGGTCCAAAATTGTTAGCGTACTTGACTGTTTTCGATCTCGGTTAAGAATTAAATCCGTGTTCATGCTTTCTGGCATATCCTTTTGGGTGTCATACAGAACCGCTTTTCATTGTAGTACATTTGGAGGATAATATTCGTAATCTTATTGTTTAGTAATATTAAACAAAGTTTACTGCTCAGTATAAAAAATTTTAGGTAAACTTCACAAAATTTTAAGCGTTATAAAAGCTTTAAAGAAAATAATGTTTTAAAGCACGAAGAAACGGGTTTATTTTATTTCTATGTTTTCAAACGTTTGGCCTATTACACCTTTGTTTATATCTACTTTTGATTCTCTGGAATTTTTTAGTACGATAGGCATTGACTTAATTTCATTCCTACAATAAGTGCTTTTTGCATTGATGCCTTTTTGTTCTAAGGACTTATCAATTCTAAACGATGTTCCTAATTTGAAAACTATGCCTGCTGGAGAAATTGAAATTACGCGGGATGATTTTGGTGCAATAGTTATATTTTTATCGAGAAGTACATTTTGATAAAAACTTAGATATGGATAACTTTTGCTTCTTATAATACTGATAGGAACTGTTAAATCTGGGTACTTTTTTAATTCTAAGTTTAAATTTGGAAAGTTTATTGATTTAATGTTGTGAGAAATGAAATCCATTCCTAAAATATTTAGATCGCATCCGTTCTCAGCTGAAATCCATGCTTTGATTTTTACCGGATTATCAGTGTTTGTACCAAAAGTTGAGTCAAAATTGGTATAACCTATAAGTTTAAGCTTTTCTCCATTAACAGCAACTGTGTTTGATCTAGATTTCTTCAGCTGTAGAGGCTGTATTTTACAATATTGTTCATAACTGTCAAAATTAATAAGTGAACATGTTGCTCCAGTGTCTAGTAGAAATTGGGTTTCCAGACCGTTATTTTTATTTTTGTCTCCGACGGGATGTTGGTATAAGTTAATGTATAATTGTATTTTTGGTTCGGACGGAGACTGATCTAGTTTAAATTAACAAGTTCACACTCATTATCGGTATAGTCTCCTGGAATGTCATCATCACTAAAGTTGTGGATCTGGTAAGGTTTATGATAATCGTTATTTTCGTTGAAGGGTTTTTTACTGTTCGACCTGTCACGCGATTGAGAACTTTCATCGAAGTTTGACAAATGCATGAATTCTTGTTGGGGATTTATGTCATTGAAATTGTTGTCTACTCTTGACCTACTCTTGCTATAGTTATGGTAACTTCTGTTTGAATTCTCTCTTAATTGAAGCGAGTCATAATTTTGCTCCTGTTGATCGTTATATTTGAAGCAATGTCTTATCGTATGGCCTGACATGCAACACCAGTTGCAAAACATTGGGTTGTTTTGTTTGTTTCTATGCTCATGTGGATTATAGGCTGCGTTTATTTTATGATCCTTCATTAGTCCTGTTAACTCTTTAAGTTGATCCTTTATTCCCTCTATTTCCAATTTATTATCTATGCTACTGGATGCTGTTCCGATAAACTCACTACTTATTGCAAAACTTAAGTCTTTTGTAGCAATATGATCTTTTAATTGTTGCCAAGTTGCGGGTGGATTCTCAATTAGGAATTGATGAGCCTTTTGTTTCAAGCCTGGCGGATTTAAGCCGCGTACAAAGAATTCCATTTTCTTTGCTGTTCTTTGATCATCATTAAAAGTTGGATTAGGCCATCCACGGTCTACTGCAGTGCTTAATCTATGTATGTAGCTCTTAATGAATTCATCAGGTTGTCTTTTTATGTTTTCTGCTTCTATTCGTCTCCTATACTTATCCTTATCATCAGTGAATCTATCTATGAATTGATCTCTTATCTCATTCCAAGGTAAGTTTGCTGCTAATCCCTGATACCATTGAGCGGCTGGACCTCTTAATATTGAACCAAATAAGGCTCTTTGTCTGTTATCATATGCGTCTTGTTCGTCACCTGCATCTCCTGGTCTAGTGCCTAGGGAAAATGCTATCTTTTTCTCTACTATATCAAGAAAATCTCTTGCATCTTCATTCGGATCTAAGCCGGTAAACTTTTCGAGAGCTAAATCTGGGTATGCTACTACGTTTGCCATCTTTGTTTAATTCACTCAATGTTTTGTTAACAATATATAAACGGTTTGGATGTGTTGTGTACTGATCAATTGTTCGGACTGAAATAATTGTATTTAAGTTACAATGAAGTTTGCTGGGTTCAATGAATACGAATTTTTGTTAGATAGATCAATAGTGCTATGGGGCTGATTAAATTTTTTTAAGATAGAAGTTATCTCAGGGGTATTGCTGGTGGAAAGAATGGTTAATTCGTGAATATTTTTGTGTGGGTGTTTGGATAAAATTGTGATTTGATCTTTTTGGATATTGGTGATATACCAAATAATTTTTGTGGATTTATTTTTTAATTTTAGTTTTAAATTAAATGCTGTTGTATTTACTTGATAAAAGTTGTTCATAGCATTTTACATCCTTTTAGGGACATAAATATTTATCTAGGGAATGATAAACAATATAAAAAATATTTAAAGTTTTCTTATGAACTTGTTATTATTTTTAATTTTTGTTAAAGAGAATTTTTGTGTTTTTAATAAAAAATGATTAAAATGCAAGTAGTTTTGTGCTTGGGTATATTATGATATCAGAAAGGAAAGCAATCGGGAGTGAAGCAATTAATCGTTCTTCCGGTATACAAATTATGTTATTTGGTATTTTTATTTGCTGAAGAATGGTGTCAATTTCTGGAGTATATCGACAAAAGAAGACGTATAATTCGTGTTTATCTTCGTTAGGGTGTTTTGCTAATATACTAATATGATTTTGTTCAGTGTTAGTGATATACCATATGATGTTAGAGACTTTATTTCCTAATTTGAGCTTTAAATTTATTGTACTGACGTCAATTTTAAAATGTGTTGACATTAATTTCACGATGTTTGTTTTCTTTTTCTTAAGCCAAGTTGTATTATTTGATTAGTATGTCTTAGAGTAATGAAAACCTCTTAGGAATTATTGAATATTAACAAAGGTTATTAATAATAAGATAAGGAAATTTAAAAAATTTCTTTGAAAAAAAAAATTTTTTTAAATTTTTTCTAAGTTTTTCAAGTTTTTTATTCGCTGAAACCTTAACTGAAACCTGAAACTTTGTTCAAGTGAAGTTTTATTGATGCTATGGTATGGTTAACAATATAACTATATGCCTTTAATGGTTATTACTGGTTCAAAACTTTATTTTTTTTGTTAAAAATTTATAGAAAATTTTTTGACTGAAACGATAATCTGAAACCTGAAACTATGGTAGCTGAAGTTGAGAGTTTTTTTTAATCTTAAAATTTTCTATACGCTTTATTATATCTGGTTTTTGCTTTATCTTGCAAAAAAATTCGAGAAAACCGAATCTTTTGATATCTTAAACTTAGTTTTTGAAAACTCAAACCTAAAACTCTTAAACTCTCTCAAAATCGGTGCATGAAAATAAAAAGTTGGTTTTTGATAGCTGGTTTAGTGTAAATTAGAATTTTGAACAGGTTTGTAACTTCAAAATCAAAAATTTGTTTGCGGAAACCTAAGTTTTTGGGGCTGAAACTATGATTTCTAGAACTGAAACTATGGTTTGACCACTTGGTTTTAGAGTTTTGAGATTGAAAATTTAGGTTGGTCTCTCTAATATATTTCTATTCCAGCAATAAAATTGCCAAAAAGATGAAAATTTTAGCCTAAAACGACGATTTTAGTTTTCTGAAACTATAAGTTTGAGGGCTCAAACTAACACCTTCTAGATGTTTTTTGAGTTTAAAAATTTGTTAGTGCATTAAGAACTCCTATTATCTTTCAATATTTCACAAAACTTTCACTTGGGAAGCAAGATTTTTGGTTCTGAAACCAAAAACACCAATTCTGAAACGTACGTTTCAGCCTTAGGAACCAAAATTTAAAATTGGTTTGGTGGGTTTTAACACCGTTAGTTTTCTCTAGAAAGTCAAAATTCGGCGTTCGGAGCTCAATTTTGAGACCAAAAACTCAATTTTTGTGTTCTGAAACCTGAAACTAACAAAAACGTACCATTTAAGACCAGGTTTTTGACTTATGGTATCCAAATTTGGGTTTGACTAGTTCAACTTTTGCTGTTTTACCCGAATCCGTTTACAGAAACTTGAAATTTTGACCGGAAACTATACTTATTTTAACTGAAACATTTGACCCTATAACTGAAACCCAGACTGAAACCAAAAATTTTGGCTGGTAAAAATCAATTTTTTATTGCTTATGCTATCATATGAAACCTATTTTATCAATATAAAGTGGATGTGTCAGTGTTTTAAACTTAGTTTTTGTTGTAAAACCTGATATTTTTGTGCTGAAACTAAAACTTGGTGTTTGGTGTTATGTGGTTAACGTTTAAGATTGGTTTTAGTGCGTAATCTTATTGTTTATTAGGTGTATATTTAAACTGTGTTAAAAAAAACTAATGATTTATTAAAAAACACTCAAATCCGTTCCTTCCTTTTTGGTTTTTGTTATTTTCTTCCTTAGTTTCAGTAATTGGTAGCTTTACTGATGGATGATTTAGGTTTAAGTTACGTTAAGGTGGATAGAATTAAAATGAGTTTAAGAAAATTTGAGGATAAGCCTCGAGAATTGATGAAGGATTAGAATAAATAGCAACAAGCGTGGATGGTTTGAGATAATGTGATGAAGAATTCAATTTATCATTCAATTTAGGGTACTCTTAGATCGCACATATGACCACTTAACCCCCTCGAAAAAATAAATGAACATATTTAATAAGTTTTTGAGCACTTTAGTTTAATACAGAATTTCGTTAATTTTAGTGATGATAACTTTAAACTGAAGTTTCGGCAAAACTTTAGTGGATTACTGGACAAAACGGGTATATCTTACTAGCGGACTTAGGCATGGAACGATTCTTTCAGAAATTTTATATATTATTATAATAATAGATAATAGTTAAGTTCATGAGCTAATGTCAGTTAGAAAGCCGTCTAATAGACCTCGAGATGGAGGAATATCGTGGGCGACTGCTAGCGCAGGGGATGCATTTCGCAAGAACCCTACTAGGAATATCTGTCAAGTAGAAGACAATGAAATTGTGTTTCTATCGAAAGATACCCGTTGTCTCTGGCTTTTTGAGGTTGAAAACTAAGCTGACAAATACTCACAGATCCTAATAATAATATATTTTTTGAATTTTAAAAGCTGTTTCTAGTTTGTTGGAAAAGAATTTCTTAAGGAGTAGTTCTCTGCTGCGGTCGCACAAGTTTTACTAAGCGCTCATTGCTGGTTGAATGCTTAGTAATTTTATCCTAATTTATAAGTCTCACCTTAGATCGTCAAATTGTCTTGACAAAAAGTAGAGTAGAAACAATAGTTAGAAAAGGTATGAATTAATTAGTTGGTTAGATACAAAGCACTGGGTTATTAGATTATATAAACGAATCGAACAGCTTAAAGAAATATACCTATGAGGGGAGGTTGAGCTAATCTTATTTTGTTCATCAATTTTTTTATCTTCTTACTAAGGTCGGTGGCTGATTAGTATGTATGGTTGCCCTTGATTTTGTCCAAGTCAGCACTTCTGGTTGGGTCGTCTGAATCGTCTTGCCGTAGTCCTTTGGGTACTTATAGTCCAGACTTCCTCGGGGGTGCGTATCTCGAGTATCTCGATTTATAATTTTTCAAATCAAACTTAAACTGAGAATTTATTCTCTTTTTATAAATGAAAAGGGCTAGATTAATTTTAGTGTTAGGGCAGAAAAGAAAAATTATTTAATTTTAAAAGATCTGACTGAAGAGAACTGACTAGCTGCTTACTGAGCAAAATGAAACACTGAAGATTTCAGGCCAGTCCTTTTGCTCGTAAGCATAAACCGGCGGCTGATTCAATCTTTAATTATTCAGGTTTCACCTGCTCCTTTGTTCTCCCTTTTTAATAAGGGAATTTTCAACTAGTTTTTTGTTTGATTTTTTCAAATCAAATATCTTCAACTTATTAGTCCCCTTTGATAAAAACCGCAGCTTTCAGTTTGTCTTATTAAAAATTCATATTACTCTCTCTGATGCATCATATTGCAGGTGCACCTCTGCTTAATCAAAGCAAGGAGAATTTCAGTGCAGCCGGCAAGACTGCTAAATATTTATCCAGTTTGTTTCAAGTTAAGTTAAAAGGGACGTATTAATAATCGCCGCCCTTTTAAAATATTGAGCATGAAAAAATGAGAAAAATTGGACAAGTATTTAAAAAGGAGTGGATTTTCAAAACAAGATTTTATAGTCCTAATAAGAGTAAATCAGTCAATATCTGATTTAGTGAAAAGAGGCTTTAATTTAAATGGCACGCTCCAATTTAGAATTGGGTCGTTAAATAAACAATTAAGACAATGGTCTTTTGTGTGTGTAGTATTTCGCAATACTACAGTATGATGGCATTTTCCAAAATAAATCAATCAATCGAATAGTACGATAAGGATTTGTTTATGTGACGGTCAATCAGGATATGTATCTTTATTTTCTCCAAGAATCTCTGTTTTTTTTTTCAATTGAAGAGGGTTAAGTTTCTCAAGAGTGTGGTTCAATTTTTTAAAATTTTTAGCCAGTTATAAATGAAAATCGGCAATTTGAAAGTGCGTAAGTAAGAAAAGTGCCAAAAATGACGTATTGTTTCAGATTGCAGGAAATGATCCGTTTCCGTAATAACTGAATTTAATCTCATGTTTCTAATTGATTTAATTTGTGGCTAGAGTCTTACAACAAGAATTGCGAGATTTTTTAAAGTTACAAGTACACAAAACACTAAATTACAAGTAGACTAAATGGTTGAAATTTTTACTAATTTTTTTTACTGAACTAAAATCCAGGGCCTGCATGTTTCCTTCAAACAAATTTCATCAAACAATGTGAAGCAACTGTGGCTTGCTCGAAATACAATTTATGTTCTGTTGAGGAGTTTGAGCCTCATGTCGAGTCTTTTTTAACCTGTCATTTTAACTGTCGTCATTCATCTCAATATAATGTCTGTTTGTCTGCTAAAAAAAAAATCAAGTCAGTCTAGACAGATAAATTTAGCTTGTGAACCAAGTGGAAAAACCAAAAAAATCATTATAGAGAGTTGCAAAAAGTTCGGACAAACAAAATTAATTAAAAAGAGCAAAAAACATTTTGAAAGATTCTTGCATAAAATTTCGTTTTTCAGACAATCTTGAGACACAAATTCGAACTGAAAAATTGAGTTTTGCATGCAAAATTTTTCCAAAATAGGTCAATTGCTCTTTTTTGACTAATTTTGTGGGTCCAAACTTTTTGCTACTAATTATAGGTCATCTGCTCTGTTTTTTTAATTCTGTCTGTTCCAACTTTTTGCAACTTATTATCACAAAGTTGGAGTCGTAAATAAATTTTTTGTCCGCGACAAATAAACATCTTTATTTCCTCTTTCGACAATACTATAATTCCTTACTTGGAACACACTAGATGAAAATAAGATTTTTCCACTTCCATTATTGTGACTCGCTTTCATTTTTTTCCACCAGCGTTTTACTTCATACGTGCTGAACAAAAAAATGTGTACTAAATTATACGGAACGAAAAAAAGAAGCCTAAGAAAATTTTTGCGCATTGATCATTTTAAAGCTTGAATTTGTATATAATTGAAAACTATTTTTTTTTGCAAACATGTTATATTTGCTTTGGTTCGTTCTGCGTGATTGAGTTAAAGCTTTAGTTTCAGAACTTGCCAAGACGCATTAAGTCTAAAAGAGACTAACAATTCTTCTGCAAATATCAACTTACCTACAAAACGGTTCTTTCAATCGAACTCAAACAGCAAATCTCGAATTCAAACACTGTTCAAAATTTCATACTGTTCCATCTTTCAATCAGACTCTTAATAATCAAAATGGCTTTTAGCTCGTTGTCATCACCAAATACCATCTTTATTCAGACATAATAACCTCTGTTCTTGTCAAAATAGAGAAGATATATCTCAAAAATCATGCTCTCAACGATTTTGAACTGTAAATAATTTCTCTCGCGTCTGATAATTAGACTTCAACCTTTTGTTGTTTGCACTTATTTATATGTTGCTTACAATCTGGAGTCGCACTTTGTTCTAAAATGAGTCACACTTTGCTGGTGTCAAATTGAGATATGGCAGATGTGATGAATATCAACAACCCTCGAGTGGCAGAGGGGGGAGGGGAGGGGTCCGAAGAAGGGAGTAGTGTGGATGACGGGAGGGACCACCTAATTCGGAGAGCCAGTCGAGTCCACGCCGACAGTTTTCTGGGGGAGGATATTGCGTCATTAGCGGGCGACAAACCCCGAGGTAACGTTTTTTCATGGAGTATAAATTGCAAAAAAAATTGGTCAGTAACGCCAAAAACTTGGAAATCTTGGCAAGATTCTCCATATCTTTGATTTCATTTAGATTTTTCTAGTTGTAACAGGAGCGGATCTAGATTTTCTCGAGGGGGGGGGGGAGCGGATTTTCAAAAATCGGACTTTCAAATTGGTTGGTAAGGGGGTCAAATCTCTGAGGGGGGAGGGGTCCACTTTGTACTAATTTGACAGATCCATTTTTGGCTGACGGGCCCTAAAATTGTTCTATAGGCGCCTTCGGCGCCAATATTTAATATTTTGAGGGGGAGCGTGCGCCGAAAAAACCCCATTTTTTGGTCAAATTTTTCCAAAAAACGTCCAAAAACGCCATTTTGACTTCTTTTTCAAAAATTTGCCTGCGGCGAAGAAATTTTGTCAAAATAGGTCTTTTAAGTGCTCTGGGACTTTTTTGTCCTGCTTCTTTGGCTTTTTTTTGTAAAAGTTTTCGTGCGGCGCAGAAAATTCGCTTTTGGCCTGTTTTTTTTTTCAAAATTTGACTGCGGCGAAGAAAATTTGGCCAAAATAGGGTCTTTTTGGGGCTTTGGGAGAGCTCGGATAATCAATTTAGTCAACCTGAAAAAAAGTTATCAAAGCGATGCTTCTTAATTATTAAAAAAGGGCTCTTCTGCCGTTCCCCAACATTTCATTTGCTGTGTGTCTAACCTTTGTCCACCTAGTCCAATCGGCATGTAGATGCATTGCGCAATTACAAACAATTTTTTTCCTCATATACAATTCCTTAAAGTCAAAAGTTATAAAGTGCTATCATGGCACTTGCTCAATACTGTTACAGTACTGCTTTGTTAAATGTTGCATTACTGAAACAGTACTGATTTTAAGTGGCATACCAATCCGGGTACCTGTAAAATTGATGTACTTGTACAGAAAACGGTGATAGGAAACGTCAGAAAAGCCTACAAAGGTATAAACTCTCACTCTGATAAGCCTTTAAGCATGATTAACTTTTAACTCCAGCAATTATTTTAACCTCCGACTCTTCTTCTGTTCCAGGCACCAGTACTCCAGGGGCTGTGTTCATAGTGATGAATGCGACCCTAGGGGCGGCCATGTTGTCTCTGCCCTACGCCGCCAACCAGTGTGGGGGGCTCCTAATCTTCCTACTCATGCAGTACGCATTCGCATTCCTAGCCGCCATCTCCATGATCATACTCGGTACAAACTAAACTCTAAAAAATATATATTTTTTCCTGATCATTCTGATCATTGTAGATTTGCGATCTTTTGTACTTGTTGCTAAAATATGCACATACTGCCCTCATAGCACTCTGAACATTTCAAGTGTTTTATGAAAGCAATATCAGCATTGACACTGTTTTTTTCTCAAATGGCAAGAAAAGCCAACTGGTTCAATTTTCCAAAACCTTCCCTCTTTAGAAAAACCGAGTGTAGCCAATATCTGGAACAAACAAGCTTTGAATTTTGACTTGGTATAAGGAAGGCCTCACTATAGATTAAAATTTCCCAAAAGTATTAAATAATAATGCGTATTTCTTACGCAGTATTAAATAATAATGCGTATTTCTTAGCCAAGTGCGCGGACGTGGGCAATGCTTCCGTGTATCAGGAGGTGGTGGAGACGATGACAGGGTCCGATTTGTGGGTCACATTCACCCGAATCATGATAGCCATCTACGCGTTCTCATCGTGTGTCGCATACTTAGTCTTAGTCGGAGACCAGGCTAGATTTCTTTATAATAATTCTGTTTTCATCTCAATATGTTTTTGTTCACAGTTGCCTAAAATTGGACAGCTTTTGCCTTATGGTGATATTAGCTAGGGTTCATGTAAGGCCCCTATGAAAACAATTAAATATTTATGTTTTTGATTAAACAACTCAAAAATTGAATGCCCGATAACTGTTTATTCATTGAGAATGGGAAGATTTCACTTAACTCTACCCAACCTTAATGTATAAATAGTTATCGGGCATTCGTTATTAGTAATCAAAGATAAATTGATTTTGTAGGTTAAGTATATCAAAAATAATAGAAGACGAATTTTGGTACATTTTAAAACAACTCATTTTTACGGCAGCATGGAAGCAAAAGCTTTCGAATAGTGTTTGAAACATAACATCATCGGATGCAAGGACGGCTTTAGGAAATGTAGCGGACACCCCTCCCCCTCTTAGAGATTCGACCCCCTCGCCACCTAAAGGGTTCCCTTTCGTTGGTACTATTTTACGAATTCAATTTTTTGCCGCTAATTGGGAGCGCGCGCCAAAATAGATTTGGGTCAAGACTTTCCAGAAAAATCCTAAAAACGGCTTTTTTAATGTTTGGTAAGAACACTCGGACACTCAGTTTGGTCTACCCAAATAAATGTTACCAAAATTTTCGAAAATCTTTGAACCCCCTTTCGATAAAGTTTTAGATACACCCCTGATCGGAAGCAATCGTTTTTTTTTGAATAAGAGCATGATGAATTTGGCCAAAATATAATTTGAACTGTCGGAAAAATCTCAAAAACCCTGCGTCTACGTCAGTTATGGCATATAAATGAAGGTTTTTAATGCTTTCTCCAGGGTCAAGAGATCGTCAAGTTCATGGTTGGCTCCGAAGACTTCAGCGAGCACTCGGATCTCTACCGACGGATGATTCTACTGGGAATGAGTTGCGCGGTGGTGCTGCCCCTCATGATGCCGAGGAGCATCTCGTTCCTGGAACTGCCCGGCATCGTTTCCTTTCTAAGTGTCCTTTATGTCGCCTTAGCTGTCGCCTTTCTCTACAACTCGGAGAAAGTAGAAGTTAGTTGTGAACTTTACGTTTTGAATTGACGTGGATGCTGAACTTTTTCTTGCGATAAAAACGCTGTTCATGGTTTATTGATTCAGATGATTGATAAGAGAAGAAGATTGAGGAGTTTGCGTACCCACACAGCTGCATTACCGGATAGCCGAAAAACTAAGTTCCTCTTTAAGTTAATTAGCCAGAAAACACAATTTGATTAAAAAATCAAACTTTTACAAAATTTGGACCACTTTTAATCGAACAATTAAGCTATCTTGTTTTGTTTTCGGAACTTAGCCAACCAAAAAAACCAATAGACTCTAAACATTTTCTATGCCTAATAGTTTTTATTTCATGGAATTAGAAAGCAATAAAAGAGCGAATTCTTTCATATAACAATATTTTTTGGACTATCGGGAACAATTTTTTTTCGGCTATGCGGGAATAAATTTCTTTTTCGGCTAACCTATAAAAAATTAATTTGGATTACCAGGGAACAAAGAATTTTTCGGCTGCCTAGTAAAATTAACTACGTGTCTTGAGATACAGGGAGCAGGTGCCAAAAAATTGTTCAAAACCTCAATTTTTTGCCTAAATTTTTTCAAATGGTTGCCTCCGGTGCAAAGTTTTGCCAGAAGTAAGATCTTTACAGCGTTTTGGGATAGCCGATCCAAAAAAAGCTCGATGGAATTTTCAATTTTTTAAAGCAATTTTTTCCCAGATAATATAATTTTTTATTCTGAGGGTCTATTATTTACTTGGGATGGGAGAGCAGGGGCTATAATGGGAAAAGCTATTATTTTTATTATAATTAAGTTTTTATTAAATATGATAAACTGGGGCGGATCTAGGATTTTCTCGAGGGGGGGGGGGGCGTTCGGATTTTCAAAAAAATTTTGAAAACTTTGACAACCTTTTTTTTGATTGGTTGGCAATTGATTATCTAAACTCTCCTAATGCACTAAAAAAAACGCTGTTTCGACAAAATTTTCTGCGCCGCAGATAAATTTTTGAAAAAAAAAACAAGTCAAAAAAAGCTGTTTTTGGGCTTTTTTGGAAAATTTTGACAAAAAAATTGCGTTTTTTTTTGGCGCGCGCTCCCCCTCAAAGTTAGTATATACTAGCGCCAAAGGCGCCCTTAGAAAAATTTTAGGCTCGGTCGGCCAAAAATGGTTTTCTTAAAAAGTACCATTTTGGCAGGGGGTCGAATCCCTGAAGGGGGGCGTCCCTGATGATAAAACAATTTAACAATTTCAGCGATTAATTTTATTAGGGGATCGAATCGAGTTTTGTGGTTATCGGGATCGAAAACGATTTCGGCTATCCGGCAACGAATTTGTGTGTTGAATTTGCTATCCTTGTCAAAAAGTTATATTAAAAAGCTTCGGCGCTAAGTTAACTTTATTGCCTTTTTTCTGAGAGCTTCAAAATGGTTTTCAAGAGATAAGTGTATAGTTGTTAGAATTTAGTTGTGCCTAGTTGTAAGCTTCTAGTTACGGCAAAACAATTAAAGTTCTGAATGTGGCACCCCTGAAGTAACCAATGGTTTTCGTCAGTTGAAAAGGCAATTTATTTCAAAATATTATTAAAAAGTCTTTGAATTTTTCAAAAAAATTTTTTAAACAGAATTAAATAAAGTTTTTCTTTTTAGGATGCAAACATCAAGACCAGACCTGACAATGGAAAAGCAGTGTTCAACTCCCTGCCTACAATCGCCTTCGGCTACCAGTGTCACGTGAGCGGAGTGCCAGTGTACTGCTCCCTGAAGAATCGCAACCTCAGAAACTGGATCTTCATTCTTGGCTCCGCGACTCTGTTGAGCTCCCTGATTTATTCGATCACAACTATTTTCGGCTACTTGACCTTCGGGGACACAGTAGCAGATGATATTTTGCTAAGCTACCCGTCCAGTAGTGTTGCCATGCTCATAGGTTAGTAGGGTAGTCACTTTTTGAGTTGTTGAAAAACTCGCATAAATGTTGAAGACTCAATGGGAGAAGGAAAACTTGACGAAAAGAAGAAAGTCCAAGAGCTCACAAAAGTCCAGACTAATCAAGCATTTTGACAAAGATGGCTGCTTTTTTCGCCTAATGAGTTTTATACATTAATTCTTCATTCAAATTATTTGGCTCTTTCGTGTCATAACCCCTCAGCAAATCATAGCTCCGCCAAATTGAAAAAACCAGCGTGTAGTGAGGGGGCTATATATTTTTGTTACAAAGCGGTAGGGGCCCCGACTAGACTAAAAAAGAGCCTACCCTACTATTTTTGAGAAGCAGGACATTTT